GTGGCGAGCCTTGCACGTGAGAGGCACAGTGGAGGTGGAGTTCAAAGAAGAATGAGAAATTTAATGGTTTCAATCTGCCCTTGTTTTTTCTTTTTGTTTTTCTTTTTATTTTTATTTTTGCATGTTATCACTTTGCCCGTTTTTTCCTTTTATTCTTTGTTCTGCAAAGTGCGCTCTTTTAGTTTGTAGTGATGTGACAATATATTAAGACAGTCTGTAGAGTTTTCCATCTGGTGTGGGTGAGTGATAGTCTACTTTGATTTTGGTTAAGGTAGATTATCAATTACAGTGTAATCAGTGAGGGGATTCTGCAGACTGTTGAGGGTTCAGCCTCCTGATGAGTCGGTGAAACTCCGACGAAACAGTTTGTCACAGCCCCTCGTTTGTTGTCCTCTTCTCTCTCTCTGCCTACGGTTTACTGGGCAGTTCTGTTTCGTCGGAGTTTCACCGACTCATCAGGGGGCTGAACCCTCAATAGTCTGCAGAATCCCCTAACTGATTACACTGTAAGTGATAATCCACCTTAACCCCGGCTGTGGTTAAGCATCACCGACTGCCTGACAACTGATACCCTGAGGTGGGCACCAACCACTGCCCTCAAGGTACCTGCGGCAAAAGTCAAAGCAGACTATCACTCACCCACACCAGATGGAAAACTCTACAGACTGTCGGTTATATATATATATAGTCGGTGAAACTCCGACGAAACAGTTTGTCGCAGCCCCTCGTTTGTTGTCTTCTTCTCTCTCTCTGCATACGGTTTACCGGGCAGTTCTGTTTGTGACGATATATATATATATAATGTATTTAAATCAAAAGTTCCATATGGCGAGGGCTCCTTTCCATGCTGTGTAGCGTAGGTCCCATTCCTTTCTCAACAGTAAGTCATGAAAATACATTTAAATTCAATGGAGCACGCTTCTGCCCACTTCGGCTGGGAGGCCATGAGTGTTATTCGATCCTCCTCCGTTTGTTTCTCCTAAGCTGTCTCTTTCTTCCAGATGCCTGCCTTGTTCGAGCCTTCCTCTTCCTCCTCTTCCTCCTCTTCCTCCTCTTCCTCCTCTTCCTCCTCTTCCTACTCTTCCTCCTCTTCCTCCCCTTCCTCCTCGTCCTCCTCTCCCTGTCTCTTCCTCCTCCTCTCCCCCCTGCTCCCTTCCTCCTTCCATTTTTCCCTCCTCTTCTGCCTCCTCCCCCTCCTCTTTTCCTCCTGTCTCCCTCCTCTCTTGTTCCTCCCCCTGCCTACCTCTTCTCTCCTAATCTTCTTCTTCTCCTCCTCCTCCTTCAGCTCGTCCTTCCTCATGGTCCTTTAGTGCATTAGGAACAACCCCTTCTGGGGCTGTAGAGTGCGCAATGAATACTCAGTCTGCAGCAGTTTGGATCAGCCTTAAACGTGCGTGACTTCGTATCAATGCAAATTTGCAAAATGATTTGATCATTGGGCTTGGCTTAGTTCCCCTTTCAGCTCTGTGGCCTACCTTCCTTGAATAATTGTTCAATTGCGGATGCCATGAGTCCCCTTATCAGCCCTGGGACATCTCTCCCTTAGATAGTCCCGTGGAGCAATGTTCAGCCTGTGGTGCTCCCTGGTGCTTGTTTCTTTTGTTGTATAATAAAAACAATGGTTTACTGAACTTTACTCATTTTGTTGCACTCAAATGCATTCACATTTGCAATTTCCCTCTCAGTTCTCAGCCCAGTAGCCTACCTACTTTCTTGGAGGGTCGTTTGAAGGAACCATTCAATCTCTGCTGCGTCCACGTGTCAAATCCCATGCAATCTCTGCTGCGTCCACGTGTCAACTCCCATGCAATCTCTGCTGCGTCCACGTGTCAACTCTCCCATGCAATCTTTGCTGCGTCCACGTGTCAACTCTCCCCTGCATGGCTTCTAGGCCTCTCAACTTCATCCAAACTGTGCCACCAAGAGCCTAAAGTTGGAAATCTTTTATATATTGAGGGCATACTCACAGTAGCCACGCGAAATCGCTAAATCGCAAAATCACTGGCCGGATCCAGTTCTTCTAAAAGGAGGACTCGATCTGGGTGCTGATTTTGCAATTCTGCGATTTTGAGGGCCTAGTGTCAGTATACTGCTACACCCTGAATAAGTGCCTGTACACTGGAATTAGCTATGACACTATGTACTGTGGTTATATAAAATGGAATATGAAAAAGTAATAGCAGACAATAAAGCAATGTAATTAGTTTATGTGAAGAGCTTTACACTATTGAAATCGTTGGGTATCCTTTCTTGTTTGGTTTGGTTTTGTCTCCTGTCCATGTAATCTATGGAGTTAGTAGCAACGTATCAAAAGTATCAACGTATCAAAGTATGTGCTTGTCAGGCTGCCAGCAGGGAATTGGTTTTTAGAAAAAAAAGGGGGAAAAAAAGTGAAAAAGCTTCAAAAAGGGCAAAAAAAAGCGGGAACAAAAAGATGACACAGTACAAGTCGAATGTATCGACTTTAATATCACAGTGGTTGAATAGATCTTCCTTTGGTTAGGCCGCAAATAATGCGACAGCATCAACCTTTCTGCCAATGACCAAGGGACTGAGCAAATAATGTAATTAACAGAACTAATAATTACCCGTTGTTCGCTTGTAATTAGTAATTACTAATACTAAGTTATTATTTCCAGTGTTTAGCACTGTTTACATTATGTAATTAGGCGTCATTGCGTGCAATTAATTGTAGTGTTTACATAATTTAATTGGCATTTAGAGGGAGCTGGCGAGAATGCGCATACTGCATTGATCTGTGACATCCGATGGCTACAATTGTGCTGTGATTGTGCAATTCATCTCTGTTTGCGGCACTTCTGAAGAAATGTGGGTTGGAGGTTGAGCAACTTAAAGACAAATGGGAAAAAGCAAAATTTGAAGTTGGAAGTCACTGTTCGGAGTGCGACATGGCTGTGAAATGATCGCTGTGGATAAGACAAAGATGATGAAAAAGAACTTTCACAGTTGTTGGTTGTCTTAGTGCTAGAAACTCTTGCGGACTGATTGCGAACTCTGAATGAAATGTCGTGTATGAGACCGGTACAGGCGCTCCTGACGGGCATAGGCGTGGGACAGAATACTGCATCGGTTCTGGGGGCAACATTTCAGGTTAGTAATGTCCTCATCCACCTGTTTTTTCAGGTTGCATAGTTTAGCGCAATGCTTCTCAGCACCCGGCTTTGTGTGATGCAATGCGTGTGGTGGAGCTCAGTCTTCATGTTGTATTGCTTACTCTATTATGCATTTTCTCTGTATCTTTCCTCCCCCTCTAGTTTATGACCCTCTCTCTCTCTCTCTCTCTCTCTCTCTCTCTCTCTCTCTCTCTCTCTCTCTCTCTCNTCTCTCTCTCTCTCTCTCTCTCTCTCTCTCTCTCTCTCTCTCACACACACACACACACACACACACACACAGAGACACACACAAGATCTGAGGAAAAATGAACAGGAATATACCTCCACCTTTACTATGCCTCCTTTCATAGTGTGCAAGTGGGCTGTTATGGCACACGGGGATGTGGGCAGCTTGCGCTAAACCACAATCGACGTGGCAAGCCTTGCACATGAGAGGCAAAGTATAAAAAGGGGAGTTGCAAGAACAAATGAAAGGGGTACCCAAAAAACCCAAAGTGAACACAGTTAAGAGAAAGAGATTTGAACGCTTCTACTGTCTTTCCCTACAGTTGGCTTTTTTGTACAAAGGCTAACTCAGCAAAACACCACGCAATTTGCAGAATCCCCATTTAGTTGGCTGGCCCATCAGCGTTGGTTGATGCTTTGCTGAGTTGTTGCCTTGCTGACATGTTCCGCTCTCGTGTTGCCTGTGGGCCATCCACTTTCAGCAGGGGTTAAAGGGTTCATGTCTCAAAGCATCAATATGGGGATTCCACAGATTGTTGAGGGTTCAGCTTCCTGATGAGTTGGTGCAAGTATGACGAAACAATCTGTCATAAACATTGTTTTTTTCAGTCCCTTCTCAGCCAGCCTTGTTTTTTTTTTTTCCCCCTGTTTTTTATCCTTCTGCTGGGTTTGTTTGGGTGCACTGCTTGGCGGATTTTGTTCTGACTTGACTCACTCAGAGAGAGAGAGAGAGAGAGCAGGAATCTAAGAGCAGAGTGCTGAGAGTGGTGACATTGTTATTTGGAAGTCTTTGCCAGTTACTAGCGAACTCGTTGAGCAATTATCTTTCTCAATTGATTTGTGCACGTAGCTGAACTTGCATCAGATCTCGAATAAATTCTCACACTGCAGCTTGGTTGATCATAAAGTGACATAAACCCGGCAACAGTGGTTTCTGCGTGATTTCACAGGGATGCTTGGAGGCATATTGTTCACCTTGTTTAAGGTATGTATGGCAGACGGCAACCTGTGTGTGGAGCATATCCATTCTTTCGGGCTTTGGATGTTGTAATTGACGGTCTATGATTGACACCCTGACGTTTGTCCCTGTTATTGTTCACATTCACAACTTATGCTCTCTCTCTCTCTCTCTCTCTCTCTCTCTCTCTCTCTCTCTCTCTCTCTCTCTCTCTCTCTCTCTCTCTCTCTCTCTCTCTCTTATGCTCTCTCTCTCTCTCTCTCTCTCTCTCTCTCTCTCTCTCTCTCTCTCTCTCTCTCTCTCTCTCTCTCTCTCTCTCTCTCTCTCTCTCTNTCTCTCTCTCTCTCTCTCTCTCTCTCTCTCTCTCTCTCTCTCTCTCTCTCTCTCTCTCTCTCTCTCTCTCTCTCTCTCTCTCTCTCTCACTCATGTGTTCAAGTCACATCATATGATCAAGGCATGTGATTGGATAGGACAGAATCGTGTTATCAGGCTAGTGCGAAAAATCGCAAGATCTGCTGTGAGTGCTTGCTTGATTTGGATCAAGAAGTCGCTTACGTCAGATCTGTCTTAATGGGATCAAGCAAAAACTCCCAAGTGGCAGAGCTATTAAATGATTTGATTGAATGATTAACAGAGTGGTCAACTGTCCTTCCTGACTTTGTGTCATCAATTTCACCCAGTTGTTTATGTTTTGGCCCAGGAGAAATCAATGTGGGTCCGAGTGTTATGAAACGTCTGTAGACTGTGTGTAGAAGAAGCCTTGTGAAGCCTCTGCAGACAGTGTGTGGCAGCGTTGCGAAACGTCAGTAGACTGTGCATTTGTAAATGCAGTTCCCTCATGTGAGTGTTTGTAGTCAATCTTGTTGACTAGATGCCAGTTTGGTTCAGAATTAGGATCTGCCTCAAGGGCCTTCAGAATGGGTCCAAAGAGGTGGATCCACAGATGATCCTTATTCACTTTGCTGGTGCACAGAGTGGACCAGGTTGAAGTTGTTGTCTACCAATGCAGCCAGGAAGTGAGGCTGTCATGAAAGAGCATCAGTGACTCTGTTAAAGCAGCCTCTTTTCTTGTGTTTGATCTCAAAATAAATCCGCCATCCAAGCAAATGGGACAGCGTAGGCTTACTTTTCATTCCATTGCAGAGCTCTGTGGTGTGACTGACCAAGCAAGAAGGTGGCTGCTTCCACGTGCGAAAGAGAACTCTGCACTCCGTGCGAGGCGTTAAAGAAGTGGAAACAAGAAGAATTTGCTTAGACTCCATTTTCCTTAACGCTGTGGAGTCTGACGAAGTCTTCTTGTTTCCGCTTCTTTAACGTTGTGCACTGAGTGCATAGTTCTCTTTCGTACGTGGAAGCAGACACCTTCTTTGCATAACTGAGCATATCGGTTAAAGGCTTACAGCACAGGAGGAAGGAAGGAACGGTAGGAGGTGGGCCTGATGTTGACGCGCTTGGCAGGTGCGATGCCCCATGTCATCCACCAAATTTGCGATAGCCTTTACGCTGGTCTGGAAAGCTCCAGCCTTCCTGTCCAGCTGCTCCAACCGGTGATCAAACTTCATCTTTTGCTCAAGATGTCTCATCATAGGTTTAAATGGGAGTGGAACAGAAGTTGGGGTGCCCTCATCTTGGGCAGCATCCTGGATTCATTCCACTCCTGGATTCATTCCACTCCTGGCAGTGCAGTTCCGCTTCTCCCTCAGCCTCTTGTACTAATTCTTTGAGCTCTCTTTCTGGTTCTGCTGCGTCTGGGCAATGACATCTCTAAACGGCTGCAAGTCAGCAGCCTTCTGAGAGGTAGAGCTATCTGTGTGCAAATCCGTAAAGATTATATACTGAAGCGGTTGAGGCAGCAATAGAGGAAGACGCAAGCATAGCCATGGTTTCCGCGTGAGGGATCAGGGTACTGCTTACATTTTGATGGAAAGTCATCCCACACTGTCCCATATGCTTGCACAGTGTATCACGCGTGCAACTACCCGTTTGGTTTCGATAGATCAAAGACAAGGAAACTGCCTTAACAGAGTCACTGATCCTCTTTCACAATCGCTACACTGCGTTTCTGTGTTGGGTGTTGGTAGACAAATTCGGCCTGGGTCGCTTTCTGTGAGAGGAAATCAGACAAGCTTTACCTGTGGATCTAGTGTTTTGGCCCATTCCGAAGGCCATTGAGGCACATCCTAAATCAACTCTGAAGAGTCTGAAGTTCTCTGAATCCGATTCTCGTCTGGTGAACAGGCTTCTCTTCTCATGCAGTAAGAGGAAGCAGGCTCTGCATACTGGCCTGTGAATCTGTCAAGCCTATACGATATTTGGCGAGTCTCGTGACCTAGAAGGACGTATCGGGCTCTGTGAAACATATGCTCTAATGCTGTGATAAAATCTTTGTTGTGATGTATGGATGATTCCCCACTCTGGTTTTCTTTCTTTTGATATTTTTTCTTTAAAAAAAACATCACTGCAAGCACAGATTCTGTCTTAGAGGCGTTAAGTCACAATCCCACGCATGGTAGCTTCGCACCGCTGGGCTTTTCAGGCAAGCACAATTGCCAATTGTGCGAACCAACGGTTCAAGTTGTACTGGGTTCGCTTATCATTGCAACGACGGTGCAACAGTAGGTTAACTTAACACTAACCTGTCTCACGACGGTCTTATTAATTTGGTTCCTAAATCTGATCTTAATCTGACCTGATGTCATGCACTTTGATCTAACTTGCAGGGATCCAACTTGGATAGCAATGCAAAGCAATGGCGATTGACTGCCGACTTTATGAATGACATTGGTAAAGTGAATGTAGTTCAGTTCAAGTTTTTCGGTGTTTGGGAAGTTCTTTTGCTGCTGCTGCTGCTGCTGCTGCAGGAGAGGGTGGGGTAGTTAGGAGGGGAAGGGATAAGGAGGGGGGGGGGGGGGGGGGGGGGGGGATGGATGGAGTTTTGCTTTGTGCAGCTTCTCCTTGAATGCTAAGTGATGGCAGGGAAGGCAGGTAAAGGAGAAGGGGAGGCAATTGGGGAATGGGAAGCAGATGAAGAGCAAAGGGCATCATGATTGTCAAGTAGCTGCTATAAAACTTGCAATGTAGCATTTGCTGAGATGTTTCAAGTTTTTAATGTAGCACCTGCTATAGTATCTCCTCGTCGTTGTTCCCTAATCATCCCACTCCAGCCACTCCTATCATCCTATGGTCTTATCTCCTGGCCCAAGTACACAATCCCAAAAGGTTGTGGTACGGAATGATCAGGACAGGGGTTAGGCTCTAGATTAGGTAGTACCAGACCCTGATCCCTGTGTCTTAAGTAGTGCTTGACCCTAACCCCTATGACTACCACTACTGGATGATTAGCTAGTGGAAGGCAACAATATGGAGAGAAGAAAATAGTCCAGTCAATATAAGCTGTCCCCCATATGAGGAGAAGCCAGTTCAAAAAAACAAAGACGAAAAAAAAGAAAAATAACTTTAAAGTTTAAATTTTAAAGTTTAAACAAGAAGGAAAAGAAAAAGGACAGCAAACCTGTGATCATCATTCTGGAAGGAAAAATGCAGTGCAACAATGCAGGGGAATCTACTCTTGATAACTATGTCGATAAAATCGGATAAATACTATTAAAATAATTAAATATAATTGTTTTAGGTTGTAAGATCTCAGAACATTCGCCTACCTTCTTCCCCCGAATACGACGCACGGTCATTGTAGCTGTATTTGGGGCATCTTTCAGTCTAAATACAGCTATAATGACCGTGCGTTGTATTCGGGGGAAGAAGGTAGATATAGTCTGATGATGTCCAACCCTAAGGGTGAGGTACTGATAGGGTACCGATAAACTCTAGTATGTGTCCATCTGTGCCTTTTGAATCCAACACCCTTTGTCTCTACTAGACTGCGAAGCTTATCAAGTAATATCAACTCAATTTTTATTATCTCGTGTGAGTTGTCCAATCTCCAGAGTCTCCATCAGAGAAAGCGGTACTTAGCTAGGCTACCAGAGTGGCCCGTGGTCACTTGCCCGGCCAGGCCAAAAAAAATTAAAAATTTTAAAATAAACAAAAAGTATTTTTAAAGCTAGGCTACCAGCCGGGCCGCCTGGGTCCCGGGTGGCCAGCCCGTGCAAGGACCAGAGAAGGTCCCAGCAAAAAAAAAAAAAAAAAAAAAAAAACGAAAAAAAACTATGTTATGCAGAAAAATAAACTGAACAACTTTTGCCTCAGGGTCGCATCGAAATTATTTATCAAATTTAAATACAAATTAAAAAAAAAATAAAATTCTTTAGTTTTATAACTTTTATTTATTTTTATTTTTTTGGCTGACCCCGGGCCACTCTGGTAGCCTAGTTTTAAAGTTTATTTTTTATTCTATATTTGGTGAGGAGTTTCGATGTTACCCTGAGGCAAAAGTTGTTCAGTTTTTTTTTTTGCACAACATAGTTTTTTTTCGGATTTTTTCAATTTTTTTGATTTTTTGCTGGGACCTTCCCTGGTCCTTGCACGGGCTGGCCACCCGGGACCCGGGCGGCCCGGCTGGTAGCCTAGGTACTTAGTGCAAAAACCTAGAGTCGAAGACATATGGCAGTGTGGCCTGGTGCTCCGAGCCTTCCCATGATTTCGCTGCAGAGCATGGTGAGATGACACGGGACTGGAGGTTCCCTTGTATTTGTTTTTGTTTTCGTTTTCGTTTTCACTTTGTCGAGGGAACGATACAACGAAGATCAGCATGGCCCCAGAGTTTCCCATGTTATTTTTGCACTGAAATGAGTGAAATCAGTCCTGGCTGCTTTTGTCTTTTCGTAGGCTGTAACGTAGGGATCTTCTTGCAAGCTGTTTTCTTGGCGCACTTCTATTGCATTTCTTTGCAAGGAATTAGAAAATATAATTCGGTGACTTGCACGGTCGCCCTCACTAAACCAACAAGAATCTGGACTACGATTCACATTGAGTCTGACTGAGATTGGATTGACTTTTTGTGCCATTATGCCAAGTTTGATCATGGATAGTTCATGTGTGTACCAACTGGCCTAGCTCAGGTAGTACACTCCTGAACCCGAGTTCGAACTCCGCTGGACGCAGATGAGTGAATATCAGAAATACTTCACTAAGGTGTGGCTTGCAGGAGGCAAAGTCGCAGAGAGAAATGACGTTCGCATAGGGTGGAAAGAATGGCACAACTCAGAAGCAGGGTGGAGAAGGCAGAGATCCCAGCCAGGAGACGGACAAAATCCATCTCAGGCCACGTAATATTGAAGGGCGAATTCCGAGAGTAATCTTCCGTAGCTTCTTTTACGTTTCTTGCTCTTTATCATTTATTGGACAGGTTCATACAGTGGACCTGAGAGAAAAGGTGGAAGTAAGGCAAGCTGACAGTCAATTCTCGACGATGCTGGGGCAATCAATGCTGGTCAGGGTTCCTTTGGCCAGATGGAAGGAAGCGTTGAGTGTGTTTCATGATGTAATACTTTGTTCGGACTTGCCGATCAAATAGGAACCAGACTGATGCTCCCCAGAATGGAAGTGGAGCCAGGGCCATAAGGACCTGTTTTATGGGGGGGAAAAAAAGAAAAAAAAAGAATTACCTAGGGCCGGTCAGTTTGATGATAATATCTCAAGGCCGTCGCCCTAACAAGACAAAGGATAGGTCATGTGTTAGTGCTAACCCCAGTTACCTCTGTTACTTCTTGCTTGCAGGCATGGTGCTTGACCTCTTATCTCCAATGTTTCCGTCCGTCTTTGTATTCATGCTCTGTATGGGGAGCCTCTCAAGATCCATCAGTTGAGTACATTTCTATAAGTTTATATCCCTTTTTTGAAGTTTTTTTCTCTTTTTCTTGGGCTTGTTTCTGTGATCGTCATGCAGGGGCCATGTCTATCTTCTCTGTATCGTTCCAATTTTAATGGACGTCTGTGATCGTCGTGCAGAAGTATATCTGCATATCTATCTTGCTTTCAACAGGCATATTCCTTTGGAATCAGAAAATTTTCAATTGCTTGTTCAGTGACACCTCTTCTGGTTGACTCAAGTCAGTGGGAACGTAGTTAAGTGGCCTTTTCTCTGCTGCATTAATCCACCCTGATCGATAGAGAGTCTGAGGTTGTTGTTGTGGTCATGGATTTCCCATTGTCCCGATCGCATTCAGAAAGTGTCCCCTTGTTCAATAGTGTCAATCCCCTCTTTAGATTCAAAGTGTCTTCTTTGTCTGTCTGGTGTGTTACCCTATTTTCCATGATCCCCTGAAATGCACATGCTATCATTCCATGCCATTGCCACAGCTTGTGTTCCGTCACACCTCTTATTCACATTACTCACATTGTGGGAACCGTTTTTTTTTCTGTATGGCTTTGAAATCCAAACGTCTTTTTCATCCTGAGGGGTAGCCAGTAAATGCATAGTTTGGAGAGGGAGGGGAAAGAGAGACAAACAGATGCACAGAGAAACGAGACTGGGACAGAGAGAGGTGCAGACGGGTTGCAATCTGCCCTTTCACACACCTGCACACGGAAACACTTGGAGCTGGCGTGAACTGCCGTATGCTTTTGAGTTCATGAACTCTTAACCACCAGAACTTCGTCTGTGGTGGTTCTTGTGCGTGTCATGCATGACAGTACAAGTGACATGCCTCTGCGAACTGGCGTGTGAATTATGTGACGACGTTCGCGGATTTACGTGACTTGAAATTACGCATGTGATGCAAACGCCCGTTAGAAAGCAAGAAGCAAGTGCTGCATATCCTTGAGCCTATGAACAAGCAATGAGCTGACGATTATGACAGATTCATGGGTTGTGCTCTTTACACACGTGGTGAGAGTGTCCTGGAGACAGCATACGGCCAGGGGGGTAAGTGGGAAAGCTAGGTGTATGCGAGAAGACAGAGGAGGGTGGTGAGTGGGACAGAAGACTACACAGAATACAATAAAAAATACGTAAGAAACGAAAGAACAAAAGGGGTAGTGGCAGCCTGTTTGTCGAACTTGACCAACTCATTGGGACCCCGAATGCTGGACGGTCTGGAATGGTGCTCTGTTTCTATAATCTACTGTGAAACCCGATTGAAATGGGCAGGCAGATGAAGCCAACAGGTAGGCAGCAATAGGGTAGGCGAGCCAGTGGGCGTGCAGAAAGGTAGCGCGGCAAGCAGCAGCAAAGCACTCAGGCACAAGGCTGGCGGAGGACGGGCAGGCAAATAGTGAAAGCAAGCAGCAAGGCAACACCATGCAGCAGCAACGTATGCAGGTGGGAGGGTAGGCAGCAATGCAAGGAGCAAGGAACGAAGGTAACAACTCAGGCAGCAGTACAACTGTACAAGCAACAAGGGAACAAGCCAGCGCCAGCACACCAACCCGCACATAGACCAAGGATCAGATCGACTTGTCATTTCCTCACTGCACAGAGCGTATCGCAAACGGACATGAACTTGATGATGCTACAAGCATATGAAATGAAATTAGGAAGCGAAGGGAAGAGAAGGGGATAAGGAAGAGGAAAAGGAAAGGGAAAGGAAAGGAAAAGGAAAGGAAAAGGAAAGGAAAAGGAAAGGAAAAGGAAAGGAGATTTGGAGAACGGAAAGCAAAAGAACGGATAAACCTTGGCTGTAAAGAAAAGCCAAAGGAAAAGAAAGGATAACAACAACTGGGGTTGCTTGTTTTTAGCTTCAGTGCTCTTGTTGCCCAGACTAAACGTACTGTGTCGGTTGGGCTCTGTACTGGTGCAGCGGGCGTTGCCAGTGGGGCAACCCGGGCAGCGTTGACTCAGCATTTTGCACTTCGCCAGAATGCTGCCGATGTCTCAGCCAAGGTATGTCTGCAATGATATCACGTGGAACCATGCACTATTGCATAGCAATGCATTATACCATAAGAAACTATGCACTCATGCATAGTATTGCACTGTGCACTGTTCCATAGCATTGCATTATACTATAAGAAACTATGCACTCCTGCATAGTATTGCATAGCATTGCATTGTATAGTCTGTATTACGGACTTCTGCAGTGGTATTCTATATTATTGTCACTTAGTATTTGCATAATATTGCTTAGTATTTGCATAATATTGCTTAGTATTTGCATAGTACTGCTTATATTTGCATAGTACTGCTTAGTATTTGCATAGTACTGCTTAGTATTTGCATGGTATTGAAATTAATTGAATATGCATGGCAAATAGTTGACGGTAGCATTTCCTTCAGCGGCTGCGGATTTTGCATTACAGAGGAGTTGAATTGGACAGTACACTGCAAGTCAAGTTCAAGTTCAGTGTTTGCCTTGCGGGATTGGCTTCTCTGAATTGGCTTGTACATTGCAGCAAAACAAAAGGATCGAAGATGCTGGTGAGTAGAGAGCAAGGGCTCTCATCTCGAAGGGCTGCTTGGGGCTGAATGGATGGTGTCTGGTATACTAAGCTAGAGTAGTCATTAACGCAAAGCCGGAACCTTAGCCTTTTTTTTTTCTTTAAAAAATTGGACCATTTCTCGATTTATGTGTGTCGTCCTTGCGCAGGGCCCATGCTAATCTTCTCTGTATCGTTCCAATTTTAACGGATGTCCCGAAGGACAGTATCTTAGCTTTGACGACTACTTTCGGGGGACTTCTTTGATCGTACTTCCTCCAGACTACTACCTTTCAGCAAGCTATCACCAGGCGAACACCCACGCTCCTTCCATTTTGACTTTGTAGCTTCACCCCTGAGGGTAGTTTTAGCAGAACAGGCAGAGGGAGGCGTATTGAGTTACTTGCAGAGAGTAGTTGTTTCTTGGCTTGGCGGTGAATCACTTGCCTGGTCACATCTTCATGACTGGTGCTTGCGGGGTTGATGCACATCACCGTTGTTGTACTTCTCTTTTGTAAGGGCCCAACTGCTAATCTGAAATTGTATACAACAGGGTCGAACACTGGAGCTGTTTGTGAACAGTTAGATCAACTTAGATGTGTGTACCATTCAGTGACCGGGGCCAGTGATGCATCCTCTGATGCATGCCCAATCACGGATTGGATATGCGCCAATGCCTAGGTCAAGTTCGACGAGGGGAGAATTGCAAAAACTGCACAGCGGAATAAAGGGAGAGATGCACGCATATAAGAATGCCTCTCTGGCCAATCAACCTCGGATAAAGAAGGGGAGGGGATGCAGAACATTCCTGATACACAGGAGAGAAGAAGCGGAGCTTGAGATATGATGATGCCATGAAAAGAATATCTCCCTAAGACTCCCCAATCAAATCTCCTCTTTCCGAGTCACCAGCTCCAGTACAAAACTAAAGTCTCTTTTCAGGAGAGCTACCACTCTCCAACAATGAAATCTGTAATCTCTCTCTCTCTCTCTCTCTCTCTCTCTCTCTCTCTCTCTCTCTCTCTCTCTCTCTCTCTCTCTCTGTGTGTCTCTCTCTCTCTCTCTCTCTCTGTGTGTGTGTGTGTGTGTGTGTGTGTGTGTGTGTGTGTGTGTGTGGAATGAACTGACCAGCGAAAGGTGATGCGTCGACTCATGCTCAGGTCCAGAGGTCTGCCATTGCAGGATAAGGGAGCCAACTGACAAGTACCAGGCCAGCTATGGCCGCCATGCCTGTCTCCACTTCTTCTCTCTGGAGACCAGAGGTGTCCACCTCTATCACTCGCAGTGCCCACGTATCCTCGCCGGTCATTCTACTGTTACTTCGATTATCAGCACTGCTGTCCACTAGCGAGGTGGCCTCAAGAGTACGAAGTACCTGATGAGTCTCTCCTGCATTGCCCATCCTGTCTTCATTTGTTTCACAAAGTGCACCCTCTTAGTTCATTGAAATATATATGACAATATACAGTCTGCTCCTGGGCTACAAGCGTGTGCCCGGACCCAGTTGCCGTCCCAGGCACCTGGGCCTGGGCAGCCTGAGGCTCTGAAGTGTATAAACGGGGTCCAAAGGGGTTTGAAGGACCTGAATGTGTGTGCCTTTTTTTTTTCCAGATACATTTTTTATTTTCAATTTAATGTGCTAGTTTTGAAGTGACCCTCAGCGAAAAGTTGTTTGATAGCTTTGATTTGCTATTTTGGCAAATTTTGCACATTTCTGGAGATGTCTTTTTTATTTGTCCTCGGGATGCCTGGGACCTTGATTCGGACTTTGCCCTGACCTGGCCCAGGTACGCCACTCGAGCAGCCGGAGGCATCCCAGGTGGTGGTTGGTGCCCAACCCCAGAGTATCAGTTTTTTGGGGGGGCAGTGGTTGGTGCCCAATGACGCCAACGTCAACTGGAGCTTAGGTGGACAATGGCATACACTGTCGTCGGTAAGGGGGCGCTGGAGACTGTGGACAGTGTGGAGGGTTTAGCCTCCTGACGAGATTGCCAATGAAACTGTTTGTCACAGCGCCCCGTTTCTTCTCCCTTTCTCCCTTTCTATGTACCCTGCACCGGGCTGTTCTCTGTGACTATATGTATGTCTGCTTAGTCAAACCAGCCTAAACATTCAAGGATAGGTGCTCAGTGCGCACCTACACACTGTGCTTGGTGAGTTGTGTCTCATAATCTCATTGTGACAAGTTCATTACAGTTCCCTGGTTTTCCTTTCAGGAAGGGAGTCAGGAGACTCTGGCAACGATGGTGGGAATGCTGGTGGGCATGCTAGTGGCAAGAATCACGTCCGGACATGTTCTTGCTATTTGGGGCTGCTTTCTCATCTTGACGGCTTTCCACATGTATGGTGAGCAGAACCTGCTCTTGCTGCAACCACCTCGCCCTCCCCCTTCTCTCTCTCCCTCATTTTTCGTACCCCTCATGGCAGTACCAGTTCGTCGATGTTTTATTTCGTTTCTGCTCAAGTTCCTGTGTCGTTTTATGAAATTGGGTCGCCAAGCTGATGGACACATCCTTGTGCTGCTGAAATGAAGCTAGATTTTGTTCTTTGTTTTGTTTTTCCTCTTTTTTTGTTTTTAACCTCACACTGGGTTGTGGTCCACATGCCTCTTTTTTTTTTAGGTTTTGGGGTCTGGCAATTCTGTGCAGGCGCCATTTTGCAGGCATGAAAATGAAGACACCATTTTGCATGCAGTAAGTGTCTCGCACAGAGGCATTGTGTGATGCTCAGGGATGCATGACATGTTCTTTGGGATTACAAAACAGTGATGACGTTAACATGCTGATGCTGTCAACGTATGGAAGGGGAAAAAAAAAACTTTGAAATTGTCAGCGGAGGCAATGGATACACTTGCCTTCTCCTTTGCCTTACACAGTTCTCGAAAGGGATGTCGAAGTTGGTTAGTGTGTAGAAAAAGTCTGAGTTGTGGACTCTCGGTGTCCACAGAACAAAGCAGCCACTTTTGAAGCCTGAGTTGTGACCAATCATTTCATCACTTCATAATATCTACACGCTCAGTGATTTGATATATTCGGCGGTGGGCCATGGTGGCTGTCTGATGTAACGCACTGTGCTATTTGCTTCCCAGTCTCTCTCTCTCTCTCTCTCTCTCTCTCTCTCTCTCTCTC